GTATTACTGATGGACCCAGTCCTCATAAGAGTCTGCGCCGCAGTCCCAAGACACACACCGAAGCAAGACGCTCTCGCTGAGAGTGTGGCTCATGGAGGGCAGTTCGTATCGAAAGTCGACTGAGGAGTCTGCTGGCGGTGTGGTACAGCGTCAGGACTGATATCATGCACAATGGTGGCCCAGCAAGGTGAGGGCGTCCTGACGACGATCAGGCTGTTGCAAATGCAGATCCATTTCGCCTTGCTCCCCCTCCCTTTTCCCCTCTGCTTGAACCCCCATGCCCGGATATTTCCTTGCGTCGTGCCTGGCTTTCATGACGGGAAGGCAACTGGCAGTAACCCACATGGCTTCGACGGCCGGCTCTGTCAACGGAAATTTTGCCAGCCATCCTCGGGGTGCTGCATGGGGTGTCAATCGCAGCCAGAGCCGGCCCCGGTCTCTTCATGCAGGTATCCGTTGCAACGGCGCACAAGTCCCGTAAGCGATTGGGCCAACTCCCAGGAACACAATGTCATCTGACAACCCATAACGAGAGCGGCCATGCCCGGGGCAGATGGAAATAAGGCCGGTCCAGCGTGGGAGGAAGCAAAGAAAAAAGCCACCAGGCCAGGCACCAAAGAGGCGCAGAGTACGAGCCGATCCGGCTGCCTCCACTATCCGTTGGGCGATATGGAGCATAAGGTAAGGTCCAGGATCCAGGCCTTTGCATGTGTGCCCATATGCTTGGCCTTGATATGCTGCCAATGCTACCAACGAACACATCACTTTGTGGTTTCGTCCGCCAGACCGCCAGACCGCCAGACTGGAAAGGAAATCGATCGGCCTTCTCCGCCTGGCTGGAGCTTATCATCGCCCGACAAGTGAAGACCGGAAAGTAACACAGCTGACGAGCTTTGCCTCATGTCTCTTGCTGAGGGAAGCTGCCGTTACACAGGCACGTCGATGCCTGCCTGCCGGCCGGCCTGGGAAGAATTGCAGGTGTTCTGCAGAGAGACTCGACATGCTGTCACTTCCATCATCCTGTGCAACATTAGTGACTGGATGTTACGGGCTGCCTTGGTGGGGGAGGGAGGCTGCGAGACCTACTCGAGAGACCGCCATGTTGGCCGCTGCCGCCTTTGCCACGGGGTTGCAGTCGGCATCAAAGATAGATTCCCTCCACGATAAAAGGATCAGTCGTTGTCGGATGTAAGTGACGAAGGCCCTCGAGCTTAAGATATCAACCATCATCTCCCGAACAAACCTGGTCGTATGAACTCCCGAAATGCCCCCCCTCCATGTGGCCAGCTGAACTACGAGGCATTCAGAGACTCTTCTGACAGGTCGAAGCCGTTGTTACACGCATGCCCGGCCCTGCATGCGAGTTCCAGAGATGGGCTGTCCGTGGCCCATCGTCCGTCTAGATGCCGCCAAGGGGGACACACAAGAAGCACCTTGAAGATATGACAACTGACAGATGACAGCTACCACCTACCACCAAACGGCAGGCGGGCTAATGTAGCCTCCCTCCGCGGGCCACTCTGATGTGCACCGATCCCCACTTCCGCGGTTGACTTCCGAGCCGCTTACTTGCAGCTCATGCAAGTCGAAATGGGCGCCCCCCGGGGAGATATGTTTGTTAGTTTGCAACGGCGAAATACTGAGACATTACCTGTCCTGCTTCGAGCAGGTCATTCGCCATGTGCGACGTGAGAGAAAAACGCCCCACGGTCCTGATGGTGATGATTTCCTCTCTATCCCCAACTTCCAAACCCCCATCCCCCACACATCCGGACTCCTGGCCAACAAGAGATGTAACGCGATGCTTGCGTGCAGGTTGCCGTGGCCGCATCTCGACAGGTCAACGAGATTTTTCATGAAACACGAGCCTTACGCGGGCGGCAGTGGCAACGGCGGCGTCAATTCAAGTACTCTTTTTGAGGGGTGTCTACATCTGGTGGTCGACCGTGCTGGCTGTGAGCTGGGCAACGGCGACTGGGTATTCTGCTCTGCTCTGCTGGTGTGATTTTGTTGTTGTCGTGGACGGAAAAGGAAGGGAAGGATGCCAGAACCATGTCTGCAGTGCTGCTATCTTCGTCTGTCTCCGCCTCGATCCCTGCCTCGATTCCGGTTATCATAATCTCTGCGGTCTCTGTGGTCTCTGCGACCCGAGTCCCGATCGTCGCGCCGCCGGTCGTGGTCATCGTACCGTCGTCCGGCGTTCCGATCGTCGGATCGGTATCGATCTCTATCTCCTCTCCTGTCCCTGTCCCTGTCTCTGGGTCGTCCGGGGCTCCGACTCCTCCTGCGTTCCCTGTCCGACCTGGCGTGATCTCTGCCCTGCTCCTGCTGTCCCTTGGGCTCAGGTTGGCGGTTGCTGTCACGCTCGGCACGGCCCTTCATCTCCTCATCCCCATACACGAGATCGTAGTTGTCGCCGTCCCTCTCGTACACGTCGCGGTATTGCCTGCGCTTCTCGAGCTCGTCGACGCCTCCCCATCCGCCCCTGGAGGCGTTCTTCTTGCGCTTGCTGTTCGTGTCGTCTCTCCAGACCTGGCTCAGCTTGCTCACACTCTGTGAGAAGTCCACGTGGATACGGCGGTCGTCAATCAGCACGTCCTGCATCTTGAAGTACGCAGCTTCGCAAGAGGCCTTGTCGGCGTACTCGATAAAGGCATACTGAAGACTGTCGCCCGTCTTGGCATCGCGGATGACCTCGCAGCTGAGGATCTTGCCAAACCGGCCAAAGATGAGCTCCAGATCGGCATCCGTGGTGACCGGGTTCAGCTTGCAAACGAACAGGACGTTCTCGGGAGGGGCGACCTCGGCAAACGGCAAATCACCCATCATTTCCAGAGTGAGTGCCTGAGCCCGTGCCTCCCTCTCCCTCCGCCGTTTTTCAACGGCCTCCTCGTCCATGTCGTCGTCCTCATGCAGGGCAGCCTCGTCCGCGATGCGCACAGTCTCAAGCTGTGCCTTGCTCGGGGGCGGCGAGCCGCTGGGCTCCCGCAGCTCCGGTGGGTCGGGGTACGGGTCGTCGAGAACGATGGTGTGCTTGATGCGGATGTCGATGAGCGGGTGTCCTTTGTCATCCACGATGGCCTCGTTGATCTTCTCCAGCACGTCGAACCCCTCGACGACCTTGCCAAAGACGGCAGCCTTGCCGTCCAGGTAGTCCGTCTCGTCGCCGAGCGTGACGATGAACTGCGACGCTGCGACGCGCGTGTCCGGGTCCGAGTCGAGGGGCGCGGTGGCCATGCTCACGGTGCCGCGCTCGAGGTGCTTGAGCTTCGGGTGGAAGAAGGCGGGGAACATCTTCTTTTTGCTGTCGCCCGACAGCAGGCCCCATATCGAGGTGCCGCCATCGGACTCCTTCGACAGCGGGCCGAGGGGGTCGCCGGTCTGGAAGGAGAAGTTCTTCTGGACCGAGTGGATCGGCGAGAAGTTGTAGTACTTTACTTTGCAGAGCTTCAGGAAACTGTCGCGCTTTGTGGTTAGCTGAGCAAGAGCTTGGTAGCGGCCCACAAGGGGGATAGCGATGGTATCAACTTACTTTTCGCACAGCTTCGGCGCGTAGTCGACCAGCAGGTCAATGACAATGTCACCGGAGCTCGTCTCCAAGAGGACCGACATGGCGGCGGTCGGTTTGGTGCGCTGCTTCAGAAGGCTAGGCTGACGTCGCAATTGTCGCTCTCGTCACTTTTGTCCTCTTCCTTATCGGTGCTATCGTCGCGATGACAGCCGTTGCCGGTTGCCTCGTCGTCGTCGTCGAAGTCGTCGTGGTGGTGGACGGAGCTTCCCGAAACTTTTTTTCCCTTTGCGCCGCGATCTGATCAACAGAGACCCCAACCAGATCAAAAGTTCCGCTTTGTCGAAAAACACGAGATTCCAAGCTTCGAAGCTTTCGCCGATCTGGACGCAGCTACGTAAGCAGAGCGCAAGTGGCGTTTCGGGCGCGGGGGCGTGCGTGCGTGGTATCGTGTGTCGTCGATTGTTTGCAGTCAAGGTGGGAAGCAAGCAAACAATGACGGCCAAATCCACGAGGCAACGGGCCCACGAAGGTCGAGCTGCGAGACAGTGTCTCGTCACATAGTGCCGCTTATGCTATGCACACGGCTTGTGCACACTGTACATCAAAGTTGCGTGATCGGCGAATCGAATCACACACCAAGAAAACATAAAAATAAAAAAAGGGGGCTCCATTTATTTGAATTTCGGAGCTTGGAGCTTGACCGATTGGACCCGGCCGAAGAGTCCTAGTCTGGCAGATCGCATTTCGCCAAATTTTGGACTTTTGATTTGCTTTTTTTGGTCCTGGGCAGAAAACATGGGCTGTCTGTGATTGATTTCTGAGAAACTGGGGGTGGCAACGGCACACACACACACAGACTTTGGAGAGTTGCAGGCTGCAGCAGGTAAGCAGCAAGCTCCGAACTATGCCCGCATGCATCACGAAGATCTCCCGTCATGCTCGAACCACATCCACATGTTTATCACACAAAGAAGCAATGTTTTCGGACTTTGGACATCACAGAAGCAAGAGCAAGGTTGACCAAGGTAAGGGAGAAATAGGTGGTTGGTATGTAAATTTGTCGTGTCGGTCATTACAAGCTCTATGTCTGTTTGGTATCCTACAACCGCCAAATAAAGATACGCAGAAGAAAAGAAATTGGAAGGATGTCAAGCCAGGCTGATCAAGTCCTCGCCGTTGTTTGTGAACATTTGAAAAAAAAGATTTCCCTCGGGCGAATGCTTGAGAACATGATGAAGCAAATGCTATTCGCCCGTATACATCCAACTTTTGTTATCCCGTGGTGCATGCCATGCCATGCCACTGCCATGCCTGTCTCGGCAGGTCTGTAGAAATTCCCGCCGCCTTTCAACGCCATTTCCCAAAGGTAGATCGTACCTTGTTCTGTCCCAGGTCCCAAATTGCCGAAAAGAAGAAAATCCCAAGCCCGGCAAATTAGCTGTAATAGTTGGTTGTCGACATGTGTCGATCAGAGAGGAACGAAAAGAGCTCACGGGGAGCTCTTACGTCGTCGCTCAGAGCGCAGCTCCTTTTCCGTGTCCATGAGACGGCACTGAACCCACATGCGGAACGAGCTGTCGCTCCGCACCTGCTCGCAGTTGAGCAGCTCCATCAGGGCCCGCTTCATGCCCTCGTTGACGTCGAACAGGCGCTGCTCCTCCTCCGCGACGGCCCAGATCGTCGTCTCGTCCGCAATCGGAGCGAGGGAGCTGCTGCGGCGCGCCTTGGGGGAGGAGAGCGACGAGCGCCGGCTGCGGCTGTGGTGTCTGCGACCACCGGTGGGGTACTGTCCGAACGGCGAGCAGGTGCTGCGGGTGGGGGATACTGAGGGTGAGGAGGCGAGGGAGGTGTTGCAGGTGGTGATGGGCCTGATCTGGTCGAGGTGTTGGCGGAGCTCCTCGTGTTGGGACTGCAGGAGGAGATATTGTTGCAGGGCGAAGTTGGAGGTTTGCTCCTGTGAGAGGGGCAGGGTGCTTTGGGCGGCCATTTTTGATGGTGTTGTTAATGGATGTGATAGTTGTAATGTGCAGGTGAGATGTCTTTGGGCTATTGACGAGCCCATCGGAAACCAATGTGGGATAGAAATAAAAGGTAATTGAAATGGTTTAGCTGTGGGCTGATGGTTGTATAGGTAGGTAGACGAAGACAAAGTTCGGAGTGTCGTCGGCAATTGTGTGCAGCGTGCACTGGCGAGATGTGCTCGTGTAATGACGAGGGGGTAGCGAGACGATGTCGTCAATGTGATGCTGTTCTGCAGGGTGGCAGATCGGTCACCGCAATGGTTCTCAGGTAGCTGGATATATATGCGAGTCGTCGTCGGCGGTGGTGGTGAAGTTTGTTTTGTTTGTTTGTTCTCCAACAACGGTAAAAGAGGCGTCAAGCGGCTGATAAGAGCGCAGGAAAGGGCCTCGACGGTGAATGGCTGGGATTGGGAGTGTGAGAGGGGGGGGCAGAGACGGAGGGCAATTGACTCGTGGTCTGGCTTGGTCCGATGGCTCGAGGAGGAGCAAAATGGCAGCGAGCGTCGAGTACTAATACCGAGTACGTTCGCTAGCTCTCCCGCCCTGTCGATGGCGTCGATCACAGGTGGAGCCGTCGTCCTTTGTCTCCTTTCAAATGAACCCCCGTTGGCGTGCAAGAGAAGGAGATGCGGACTGGGGCGCGGGCGTTGGGCCTTGTCCAACTGGTCCGACTTTTTGCGTGGGTTTGGCGGGGGTCGCGCAGCAGACGTTCCCCTCAGATGTCGGTAATAAATATGAAAAAGAGGAGAAGGGATGCAGCGACTGATCGGGGCGTGCCCGCTGGCGAGCAGATGTTTGGTCAGAGATTGAGGAGGTGAGGAGGTGAGAGCTCTTGTCCCGGTCCGGGGAAGAAGAGGCGATCAAGTAATATGTAGCTAAGGTGTGCGTCGTGCCTCTTTTGCAGTTTGCGGTGTGCACGTCCGATGCAGCTGGATAAGGGCCGGTTGGTCGGTCGGTACCGGTATTAAACGTGTAAGCCAGGTCCAGTGTGCAAGGAACTCCTCAACTGGGTTCCGTGGTTCCTCAACTGAAGCCCCCCGGCAAATAGTAGGTGGTCCTGTCGGGCGTGGCAGGTTTTCCGGTTCTTGTTTTTATTAATAGGTGACGGTGGGATGTCGCCCGGAAGGAAATAAGCGGAGAGTTGACGAGATAAGGTAATGCGCGATGGAAGGGAACCAGAGACTTGTCAGAAACTGGGCGAGATGAGAATGAGAGACAGGCCAGGCACAGGAACCAGCCAGCCAGCACGTTGATTATCGCGGTGCTGTACCAATAATCAAAGCTTGGACGTCCCTCGTGGAAATCACCCCCGTTCGAAGTGGCGCTAAATAGAACCAGCAGAAAAAGCCACAGGGCGTTTAACACACCACACAATGCAAAGGGACCGGGATGTTTTGGGGTCCTCGGGGCTGGACTTCAACGTAGGTTTCTGTGTGTGCTTGCTGCAGTGCGTACGCCGTATGGTGTCGACGGGCCAAGACTCAGGCGCAGTGGTGGTGTCCCACTGCTAATAAATACCAACAAACGGCGAACCCGTTGTTGCAAAACCGACAGAACTGGGTAAGGCGCCCGGTAGTCAGGAGAAGGGATGCGCAAGCAGGGTGCGGAAAAGGGAATGGTGAACGCGCCGGCCGACAGCCGGGAGGTGGTCTGGAAGCTTTTTTGGGACCAAGTGATGCTTTTGATGGAGCGGTTCAGGTCTGCCGTCGCAGGAGTCAAAGCCCAAAGAGACTAAAACTTTGGCTAGCTCTGGTGTGATGGCGTGCGTTTCCGTTGTCCGTGACGGCAGAGGGGATGGACGGGAGGGGAGGTGTGAGACTTTTGTGTAGGTATGCAATTTGGGGAGGGAGACCTAGACTCAGACAAGTCGGTACCGAAATGTGGTAGATACGGTCTGAAATCTCACTGAACGGTGGTGGCCGGTGGTGGTGATGGTGATGATGAGGGGATGCCAACTACCTAATATTGGCGGCCGATAGCGTAAGACGGGACGGACGGGGATATGGATGTCTGGGAGATGGTGTGTGGAGGGAGCACTCTCGACGACCCCTGGTCCAATTAATAGACCCGGTCCAGCCCGGATGGAAGGTGGATGGCAATACGAAGACAACTGACAAGCGCGCTGTCGTCTTTCAATGCGTGTAGGCGCTGCCCGCAGTGGTTTTGCCCACTCGAATGGCAGGTCGGAGTTGGCAGAGGGGTCGACTGTGGATGCGGTTCGCTGCCGGTGGTGCAATAAACCGGTTCGATGTTGCGCTATCCAGGCGGTACAAGAAGGGCACAGCAATGGAGCATGCAACTAATCCCTAGTAACATGCAGCCCACGCGCTCCGACAAGAGGTCCAGTTGGTCCACGTTGGGGCTAGGCCTTGCTTGCTCTGCCCTTTTCCTGGTGGTGGTGGTGCTGTTGGTGTACCGTGTATGTAAGGTAGCCCACGGATATGATGGCGCTATCTCCTGAGTTCTTTCGTGTAAGTGTTTTTGGGGGGACCTTTGGCCAAGTTGAGCGCCCTGATACGGGTCTACTTCCCAAACTGGTGGTGCGCAGGGTCGTGTCGGCGTGGCGCTGTTAGTGCAGCCGGCGACAAGATTGTGATACCGACGATGCGGTTGGCGAAGGCGATAACAAAGTTCGATGATAAGGTGCGAGGGCCCCTGGAGGCGAAATCGACCTCAGCTGGCTGCTAGCGTCTGCGCCTGTGTGGTGGTGCTGGTGTTCGTTGCCGGCGCCGTGGTGACGACGATGCTGATGCGATGCCAGAAAGAAGTCTCTGGCGAATGGGGACTGGAGGAGGTGCACGAAGCTGAGGTGATCGTGGTGTTGTTGCTGTTGCCTCTGCTGGGGCGTAGTATTTCCGGTATGGCTGTGCGGGCTCGTGTCTGCGGGGCCGCGCTGCTGCTTCTGCAGTTCTCGTGATTCCTGTTGATGATGCCGGTGCTTGTTTTGTTGTTGATGCCCGTGTTCAGGTTTATGCTGGATTTCCGGAGGTTCGGGGGTGATCCAGGTTATATCGCAATGATACATAGCAGTACGGAGAAATATGCTGGTGACAATATCGATGGGCTTGTCCTGGGTTTGGTGTAGACTAAGGTACTCGGAGGAGGAGGGAAAGGGTTGCTTGAGACTGAACAACTGTCTCGGGGCTTGACGCCTTTGAGGCTGGTGGCATTTTGTACTCCCAACTCGAGGCCGCTACAGGGCCATTCGAACACACAAGTGACGTACGTGCCTCAGAAGACCATGTGGCTTGCCAGCGCTTGGGGTCTCACGTATCGCGATCCCACGTTTGGTTCTCCTTTGCTTTGCCATTTCTCCCTGCTTTTTAGGCCCTCGATGAGGTATTCGCCTGGTAATAATGGGGACACAAGGGGGCCACTCTTTGGCACACGGCCCGCTAATAACGCTCATGCTTTATGTTTTTTGCTCCGATGTGCTTTGAATAGAAGCTGTCCCCGGCACGACTTCCGAGCAAGACAGGACAAGCTGTGGCCACTGCTGAATGCTGGAGGGGTTCTGGTAAGGGGACATCCTGTTTTCAGACGAATTCGCATGGTCGTGTTGCGGGAGATCCCTCTGGGCAGACGCCGCGGATCAGCCAACGCCTCTGATCTCAAGCGCAGCCTGGCCCCGAAACGGCCTCTTGACAATCATGCCCAGCAGGAAATGATAGTGAGCGGTGAAGGGTGTACACACCGCGCGCTCGTTGGGTGTCGAGATACTTTTTGGTTCAATTTGGCAGCTTGAAAAGACCCTTCTTGCTGCTGTGGGTTGCATGGATGTCACTCCGACACCACCTTCACTGAGGGCTTGCAAACGGACATTCGTCCAGACGAGACGACCTCACCTCTCGCTTCAGGCTGGCGGCGCGGCGACGCCAGCACCTGCACCTCTACCGAAGGCCCAGGAGCTCCCATCATCAAATGATCGGAGGGGATCAGAATTCCCTGACAGTCCAGCCTCTAGGATCGTCGCCCCCGGTGTACGCAACCGCAGCCACGAGACCACCAAGGGGCGGTTCGTACCTTGCAGAGGAGCTCCTTTGGCCCCCAACAGACGGAAGGGAAAGGTGACAGGCCGGCGATCCCAAAGTCCTCTTCTTTTTTCTGACAAGTCGTAAACCACACCAGACAACACACGCACACCACACAGAATTCGATCCGAACCAAACATATGATGGGACTGATGGGAAAGTCGACAGGCCGACCCATGATCTGAGCCTTTTCTGATCCTCATCCTTGGGGCGCGTGCGATGACTTCATAGCCTCGTCTCAACGGCTCGACCCTGCCCTGTTTCGTTCCCGCCTTTTTTTCTCCTCCCCCTAACCCCCTTCTCCTGATCCCGATCCCGATCCCGCCCCTGGCCATGTTGCTCCCACGCCGTCAAAGGAAGGTCCAGAAGGACAGATAGAGCTCCGCCAGCTATCAAAGCTCTAAGCTTCCACAAATGATGGCCAGACCACCATACCGGTGGATTGGCAATGTGTTGGTGCTCCCGGAGAATGCCAGCCCGCCCAATCAGTGAGCTCCCTGCGTCTCTTTTCTCCTAATCGATGTTGCAAGGGTCCGTTCCTTCGTGCGAGCCACAAGACCTTCGCACGTCACCCAGGCCCAGCTTGCGTGGTGTTTCGCCATAATTTCCATTCTTTTCCCCAGCAGATTTCAGCCACACCTTGAACGGTCGACAAATATGACGTCCATCTGTCTGTCAGGCTCGTCTTTTCACACGTCGTCAACCGGAGCGTAGTCTCCGTATTGAATTTTGCCAACACAGCCTTACGTAAATTCCATTCCTATCGGGTCAAGCTTTTTCTTCTGTATTGAATTGACTTTCTGGGGTTCCCAACCGACAACCGAAAGCCAACAGGCAAAGTTTAGAGAAGAAGAAAAGGTTGACCCCTCATCCTGAACGTTTGCGGTGCTTTCGAACTCTCTCCACGCCCTGAGACTGCCGGAGCATCAGGCCAC